AAGAGGATTCAAGGAAGAGGGGGTGATGGCCCTTACATTGGCTTTGGGGAAAGCTAAATGAAGCAAACGATGTCCACATCAGGAGTTAGTCAATTTACAGGCCAGACCAGCCCCTGCTAGTTTTTGTAAGTTTATTGGAACCCAAACACTTTCATTTATGTAGTATACCTGACTATTGTTGCAGTAACTGAGCTCTGTAATTGTAAAAAAAAAAAAAACATCCTGGCTCCCTGAGCCCAGAAGGTTTACTGACTCATCCTTAATAGAAAGTGACTAACTCCTGATGCACATTGCTAGCTGCCCCAAGATTGCCAGCTCTTGCAGACATCCCAGACACGCTGGCATGAGCTGTGACAACTGTGAACAGAACTTTATCTCTCCCTGAGCCTCCATTTGACCATTTATGGAAGTAATACAGCTTGTCTTGTGAGTTTAATATAAATGTATTGTGGATGCTGGATACATGTGTGTTCCCTACCCAATCTTATTGAGGTCTATGTAGGTACCTGAAATACACAGGTTTCTCAACGCTTGCTTGGTTTGATGCTGGGGAGCAGCCTCTCGTTTCTCACACCTCAGCTCCTGGCTCAGGTTTTCTTCACTTCCTCAGAGACACAGTTTTTCCAGTCCCTCAGCCTTTCCCGGGTGTGCCCTCTTCTGGTCGTCGACTTCTAGTCTTGATCACCTGCCTCTTCTGTCTGTAGCCCTCACTTATATGTCTGAGAGCCCTGTTCACTTGAATGTCTTACACTCTGGTTCTAATGGTGTCTGTGCTTCCTCACTCCATAACCTAGCAGAGTTTGCAATTTCTGATGCAAATAAAGACTACTTTTACCTGTTTTCAATTATTGTCCCACCAATCTAGATGGTTATAGGAGTACCTAGTTCAGAACAGACCCTCAAAGTGTCTGTTTAAATAGATAGCCTGTTTTCTGTTGAGCAGTGGCAACATTGGCATTTAGTAAAAGTGACTCCTGGTACTACTAAAGAAAAAGAAATGTGGTTGTTAGCTCAGCATACTGTTCATATAATCTTTCACCTGGTGTTTACCTTTTTGATTCTCAGCTTTTTTCATCTGTAAAATGTGGTGAGTATTATGTACCTCCCATATTGATAGTTGAATTGGTATAAAAATAAAAAAAAAGATATTAAACTTTGCATGTCTCAGGGCCTCATAATTTTGCTAGCACTAAAGAATGCTTGCTAGTCATGGTGCTATATTCCTAATGGTTTTCATTATACTAAGTTTCCTTATCTACAAATTGGAGATGAAAATTATACCTGCTTTGTGTGATACTCTTAGTCAGTCGTGTAACATAATGAGCCTGCCATCTTGTAGTAAATGGAGGAGTTTTGTTTGTCAAAATTAATATATTCATTCAACATTATGGACTTCCCAGAAATGTGCATGCTAAAATAAAATTCCATTGATAGTTAAGATTACAACTCCCTTGCAGCTCTCCACCATCGGATATGCACTTACATTCTGTTACTGCCACTCTGCATTCAAGGACATGTTCTATTGGAGCAATAGCTGTAAGACTTCTAGAATATTCCAAACACTTGTATAAGAGTTCATCTGGTGAGAAACCCCAATGTTCATCAACTACAGCAAAAAGGTTCATTGTTGGCTTTTGTTATTTATTTATTTATTTGGTGTTGAAGGGAGCTTAACAAATAGCAACGGCTGCAGCTTTTCTGCTTTTAAGATCATTCTTTTAATTAGGGACTATAATCTGTGGCCAGAGTGTGTTTTGCAAGTCCAAACACAAAGAGACGTTGGAGAGTTTATGTTTGGATGGTCCAATCACCTGCACAGCTGCTGGCAGCAGTTGTCCCGAACTCTGCTGTGGGGGCAGCTGTCTGGGACCTGGGGACCTGGGCTCTATCTGGCGTCTTCACTGCCTTCTTAGATGATCTTTACTTTGTGCAACAGTAAATAGCAACTCTGAGGATTCTCACCCAAAACTTGGAAATGCCTCTGTGCCTCTAAGCACTTGAGAATCTGCTAGAAGCACTCTGAATATTTATATAGATCTACAGCATAGGAGGGGAAGGTTGGTTCTTATTGTCGTCATCATCATTGTCATTGTTGTTGGTGGTTTAATTCTTTGTGCTAAAAAACAAATAGTAAAAGGTTAAAAGCTGCTTTTGCTATTATCGTGGAACAGAAGCTTGTGGTTGTGAAATGAATGAATATGTAAAGCACCATTGAAAATGTGACATGCTTTATAAATGCTAAATAATAATAATGATGTCACAAGGCTTTCATTTTTAAACTGTCTTAATTTCATTCTCAGTTTGAGCTAGCAGATTACAGTAGTTAATTATAGAAATTGGCCCAGAATGAAACCTTAAATCAGATTTCCATTAAAGTGCATGACTGCAGCAAATTACTCTATAGTGGGAAAGAAGCTGAGAGTTGCAAAGTCTGCTAGAAGGGGGTCTCTTGAACCAGGAGGCACCCTTTTCTGCCAGGGCTCCAAGGGACACTGTGTGCCCTGAACATACCAGTGTCCTAAGCCAAGCAACCTGTGTATGTTCCTATAGAAAAGCTTCCAGTGGAAACTGCTATCAAATCTTGTTGTTATTCCACTCTGAAAATGGAACGAATGAGCCAGGGAAGCTCTGCTTCTGGCCCCAGCCCTGATTCCAGCCACATTCTCCTGCTATGCCTCAGGTTACCTCCCAGGTCAAGCTGTTGCTCCATGAGTTGTGTTGGGTGCCATCTCTGCCTCTATCCTGATTACATCTTCCTACTTAAGATCCTGGGGCTGAACACTGGCTAAAGTGTTGCTTTCCTTTCAGATAAAGGTTGTTCTATGAGGAGAAACTATGTTTAATGCTGAACTCCTGCTGAGCACAGTGAGACACTATTACATGAGAGGCTCATGGGACTTGACACCCACTGAGACATTCACAGCTTGTGTTTGACACTCACTCCAGGGCATTCACCCACTAAGTAGAATTGTCACAGGGTCACAGACATCATCTCTTTCTCACCCTCTCCACTGCTGCCTGTTTAGATAAATTCACCTAAGTTCATGGGAACTGTATAGTACAATCACATAGTTTCAGATAGATTAAGCAAGCACACTGACTCCCCATAACTCAGTGAGATGCTGACACATGAACTTGTCCTTACATTGTAGAGGTCACAGGTCTGTTCTTTACTGGAATGCTCAGTTCTACCTCATAAATGCTATTGAGTGCCTCTACAGTTCTGTCTCAGACCCCATAGAGGCGCTATTTCTCATGAGTGTTTTTTCTTCTATTGTTCTGGCAAGTTCCCCTCCATCCCACAGTTATTTGGAAATGACTGCTCTACAAAGCATCAGTGCTAACAGCATTTAATAGTTGTCATTAGGCAGCAGGCTTCTGCTTACCAGTTAGCCTGCTGTGAATGGAAATGGGAGGTTTCTTTCTTGGGAGTAGCACCAGTCCCTAATTGGATTGAAAATATTGCTTATTTATTTTATTACTAGGCTGTCGCCTTTTTATTAAAGTTTAGTCACTATGCTCCTATTACATAGTCTGGGTAGTCTTTCCAGTAGTGTCATTGCCTGCTGGAAAAATCATGTGTAAATATCCATTAAGCATGTACACTAAGAGCAACTTGATTAGTAGCGCACAGATACCATCTCGTTGACATCCTTCAGCAGTCTTATGGAACAGGGACCATTACTAACATACTACAGATGAGGAAACCATATTTAAGAGAAGCTATGTAGATTAATCGAGTTGTAGCCTCAGCAGCCAACATGGATGAGCAAAGAGTAGATTTTGAGCTGTGCCTCTGCATTGTGTTGGCTTTGTGGCCTTCAAGCCCCATAACCTTTTCCACTACAGATGATCAACCTCACTGTGCTAATGGGCAGGGCTCTGGGATTATCACAATAGAAAAATAAGAATTCACGTAATGACACATTCTAGAGTTAAGTGCTATAGAAATGTAATGTATTCTTTTCTCCTTTGTTGTCTGTTGTTCATTTATCATATGGAACCCATAGGATCTAAAATGACATGGAGCATATAGATACAAGTTTTGCAATTAGTGTAGCATAGTTCAATTGCCACTGCATTGTTGGAATTTTGATGCCTCACGCTTGATGAATAACTATTTTCTGTGGGTGTTATCAATTAATCTAAGTAATGAATTATCTTCATTATCTCATTCTTTGTGTTAATTATACAGGGTTTTTTATACCTATTTATCAAGTTAAGACAAGTACAATATTCTTTTTACCCCATGTGCCTCTGAATGTAGAATCTGTACAAAGAAGTGAACATGATGGGTTTAAATTTACATTTCTGAAAAATTCCTGTTAGCAACTTGGCTCTTATAATGGTTCTCTCTCATTCTCATTCTTTCTCTCTCTCTTTCTCTCTCTCTTTCTCTCTCTCCTTTCCTCCCTCTTTCTCTCTCTCTCTCTCTCTTAATCAAAAAGATTGTTATCTAACATAGTGAAACTCTCTCTGGATTTTGAGACTGTGCCTCCAGCATATTAAAACGGTACTAAGAAGTATGACAAGGTTGGAGTCTTTACCTATTAATGCAGACAGCACATACTAAGTTCCAAGCTTTAAACTGTTGGATTAGGCACAAGAACAAAATTTAAGTACACATCATATAAATGCACAAATTGTTAATGGTACTTTTCATTTGAAAAAAATAATAAACCAGTTACAAATAACAGTATTTAAGAAACTAGAAGGCAGCATATAATAAATAGAGAAGTGAACAGAAATTAGATTCATTTTGGGATCTATCTCAGCTCATGAGACTGGTGGTAATGTGGGTTAATAATGTTACACATTGTTAATTGTTCATTACTGAAGTTTAATTCTTGTGGCATTTTTGCCTGTTTTCAGTATTTCTTGCTCTGTGTAAAAAGTAACAAATTAAGGAGCCTTACTTAACTATCTCAACTGTTATTTAACCAGTTGGTTTGAGGTTATATGCCCAAATTCTAATGACACCTTCCTGTTTGGGATTTCAGGTGGAAGCCATCCTCGTCAATATATTTGGTGGGATTGTCAACTGTGCCATCATTGCCAATGGGATCACCAAAGCCTGCCGGGAGTTAGAACTCAAGGTGCCACTAGTAGTCCGGCTTGAAGGTGAGTCACAGGAATTTCTAGCACTAATATTCCTTCCACAGGCATGTGCCCAGCATGCTCTAGATCCACAAAATTCCTAAGGTGATAGGAAACTAGCTTTAATGACAGTAACAGACACAGTATTTCAGGACTAGCAGGTGAGTGCACTTGCAGCTCCTCAGACACTCATTGTTGGCTGAGGGTAGTCCAGATTTGCTGGTTCCACAGCTAAAGCTCTTGTATTACAGACGCCGCTATACATATACCCATCATATCTGCTCTCTTTTCTCATACATACAGTCCTATCGTAGGATCAGTTTATAAACAGGCACAGTAAGAAATTAACGGTAAGCTAGAAGTAAAATAGAAAATTGCAACATTATAGTGAAATTAAAATTAAGTGAATTTGGCTGGGTGGTGGTGCATACCTTAAATCCCACCACTCAGGAGGCAGAGGCAGGTGGATCTCTGTGAGTTCGAGGCTAGTCTAGTCTACAGGGTCAGTTCCAGGACAATCAGGACTACACAGAGAAACCCTGTCTTCAAAAAACAAAAGAGAAAAAGAAAATTAAGTGACTTTGGTTTCTTTCTCTCAAAAGAGTCAAGACTATTAATATTTTTATCACTGTATGACTGCAAAAGACTGAAACTGTGGAAATGGAAACCAGAAACCAAGAGAGATGGGTGTGTGTGTGTGTGTGTGGGTGTGTGTGTGTGTGTGTGTGTGTGTGTGTGTGTGTGTGTGTGTGTGTATTTATACACAGAATATCTTTGTAACCATAGCTTTTAAATCTATAATATTACCCCTGATGGTGTTTTCCAGCTTTCTTTCCTATCTCTCTTAATGTGTGCTCCTGTATTAATTCCTGTATGACTTTATCTTAAGAAGGTCTAGCCTCAGAGACAGGAGGTAATAATGCCTTGGTTTGGAGGGGTTAGTGGTTTTGTTGTTGTTTGGGTTTTTTTTTTTCTTTTTGTTTTGTTTGAAATGGAGTTTCCCTATATAATCCAGGCTTCCCTTGAACTTGCTATGGGACCCAGTCTAATCTAAAATTCAAAATCCCCTACTTCAGCCTCCCTAGGACAAGAAAGCAGGTGCACAGCATCACTCTCAGCTGAGGGGGTGTTTTGTTCATCTACTGGTGTTGCTGTGAGTTTCTCCTTGGAACTTCGGTAAAGTCTCAGGCGGTTTCCTTAGGGAAGGTGCTCTGGTGTGAGACTGGAAGGGGCCTCAGGGAAGTTCCCATACCTGCTGTTTCCAGTCCCTTGGCATGTCTCACACTAAGTTAATTTCACCCCTGCATGTTGCATAACCTCATGCTCTGATAATTTTTTTATTTCAATTATGCATATGTTCCAAAGGTTAACACATTTCAAAATACAGTGCCCCCAAATCCACTTTTGTTACTGTTAACACCACACCTATCAGGACAGCCTTTGAAGTATTGGGAAGCTGTCAAGTTCAGAGTGGCAGGGGCAAGTTTTCAAGACTTTGAATTTTCAGTTTAAAATATACATTTTATCTTCAACTCCAAAATAGTTGTTGTCCTTCAAGTGACAATCTCATGTCAGTCATACCTGAGAAAATGCCTCCAAATAACCAAGTCTGAATAGCACAGTGTGTTGATTGGTTTTTAAAGTCATTACAGTATTCCAGGGGAGTGTGAATCACTCGGTCCCATGCTTGGGTGCAGAAGCGCATCTCCCTAGCAACAGCCACCATATTAATCGAGTAGCTTAGCCCAATGTTGGGATACAGAAGTGCTTCCTGTAAATGTCCTGCTTGACTGAGTAGGACATCAGAAAGTGCTCAAGAGCCAAGGCTTAATAAGATTAATATTCTTTTTACCAGCCACTTGAAACATAGTTTGTATGGTCAGTGACTACTAGTTCAATGTGGCTTTTGTCTTCCTTCCATGTTGATACATCTGCAGCTTCACCCACAATCACATGACTATCCTGGTAACCTCATCAGCACCACAGTCTACCCATATTCATTACCACCACAGTGTGACAGTCAGTTTAGCATAGAGACCTTACCCATATTAAAGGAGCGTTTTAATACAAAAACTCCAGAAAGCCATCCACATTGCCATTGCATTTTAGTTGTAAAATTCAGCAGCCCCAATGAGTCTATTTCTTCAGTATCACCTTAGGGAAAGCCCAGATTCCCCAGGCTCTGTGCTGGGGTTCTCCTAGAGATGAAGTCTGCTGGTAGTTTGACACTGTAGTGGACCCCATCCCCTGATGAGAGTCCAGGGAGCTGCAGCCAGCTTGTCTGTCTCCTTTATTTCTCTTCTCTCTTTCTGCAGCATAGCTTTTTCCTCACCTGAAACTGCCTGCCTTGCAACCCAAAACCAGGATAGCATGGACTTGATAGAAACAGTGATCATGGGGAGAAAGTAGGGTGGCAAAATCTCCAGGTAGCGAAGTTCAGTGTGGACACTAGACCATTCCACAGAATTTACTCATCGTAGAAGTACAGAGACAGCATAATTGATTTCTGTAAAACTAATAAAAGCCAATGATTGGTGACACTACAGTGCAGAAAACTGGCCAAGGAGCTAATGAGGTCATCAGCATTGGTTATAATTTTGATTAAAATGTTGATGTCAAACTGTTCTTATATTCAAAGTGACCCTTGCCCCTCATGTTGTAAAACCCAATTCATGAGCTTGTGTTCATGGGGGCAGGGGGTGGGGGGGTGTAGATCTTTGTAAGCAAATCATATTAGTATCTGACACTTGGAAATAATTAGAAGTATTCTTGCAGTGGACTTGCTTTCTCCCAGCTGTCCTTGTTGGGCCCGTAAGTATCATTATTGTACATAATTATTATTTGTATGTTTCCAGAAAAGAAATTAACTCCCATTTAATTTTTCTTTAAAAGTTAAAAATGGTTTGGGGTAATAGTTCAGGTAGTATGCACCCAAACCTGAGTTTGATCCTCTGGACCCAGATTTAAAAAAAGAAAAGCCAGGTATAGTGCACACTCATATAGGCCACTGAGAAGGTGAAGAAAGGAGAACCCCTGACCCAGGTAATGTAGATAATCCCAGCACTGAGGAGATGAAGACAGGAGAACCCCTGAGCAGCCGACCCAGCAGATTTCGTGAGTTTCAGGCAAATGTGAAACTCTGTCTCAAACCATAAGGCCAACAGGATCTGTAAAATAACAGCCAAGGTTTTCTTCTGTCAGCCTGCACACCACACACACACACACACACACACACACACGCACGCACGCACGCACGCACGCACACACACACACACACAGACACGCGCGCGCTCGCATTCACACATGTACACACACATGCACATGTACTCCCACACACCTGCATCTGTACACATGTGAGCATACGTGTGCATACACACACAAATTGAAAATAGCCCTTCTCTTATTTTCTCACTATGCTTAGTATTCCAGAAGTATTCAGTGATCCATGGTACCTGGGAGATACATACGTAGAAATATGCACAACAACACACCCAAGATTATCTTCCTAAACAGTCTCTGATGTTTGTGTAAGAACTCTGTTTGAGATAAGAGAGAAAAGCTTTGAAATTTCTAAGCTTGTTAGACGATCAGATTTGCATCTTTTAAGTATTCTTCTAAAGTCTGTGCCTATGTTTTTTAATTAATTAGTTACTAAGAAATGCCATCACAGGTCATAGAACTTTAAACATCAAGGAGGATGGGTAGAAATGTAAAAAGGTCAATATGAGAAATGAAACAGAAAAATGATAGACAATACACTAAACATTAATGAGGGTTTGCCCTCATAGAACGTGTTCCTGTCTTTTTAGCCGTTTCTTGGGGGCCCAGATAGCCCTGGCCTGAATCACTGAAAATTCACAAACAACAATGGTATCAAAATGTCTGTGTCCTGGAAAACTGAAAGTGATGACTCAAGACAAGGTCAAAGCAAACACTGCCTCCCAAACTGATGGAGGCCAAGACTAGTCTGTCCCTAGTGACTGTTGGCACTATCCTCACTATCCTCTGGTTTCTCTTCTGTCGTAGCATTGTTTACCAAGAGGGAAAAATCAGGTGAATTTGGTATTTCTGGAGTCCTAGCAGGTTTCCTGTTTTCTGCCATACAGATTAACATCTCGTGTGATTGGTGTTCTTAGAGAGATGTAGGTTCTCACACCAACACAGAAGAACCTAGAGTATGTGCAGTATCTCAGAGGCGAGCAGGCCAACACCAAGATAAGACTCTCCACAAACTGAGTCGTTACCACACAGTAAACATAGGGACATAAGGAGTTCTGTTCTGACTGAGATCTGAGCTCTGGCCATTGATAACAAAAATGCAGAATTTGGAGAAGGTTTAAGCCAGAAAGGCCCCTATAATGGCTGGTTTTGTGTGTCAACTTGACACAAGCTAGGGTCATCACAGAGAAGGAGCCTCAGTTGAAGAAATGCCTCTATGAGATCCAGGTGTAAAACATTTTCTCAATTAGTGATTGATGGGAGAGGGTCCAGCCCACTGTTGGTGTTTCTGGATTCTATAAGAAAGCAGGCTGAGCAGGCCAAGGGAAGCAAGCCAATAAGCAGCACCCTACATGCCCTTTGCACCAGCTCCTGCCCCCAGGATCCTGCCCTGTTTGAGTGCCTGTCCTGACTTCCTTCAGGAGTGAACAGCAATGTGGAAATGTAGGCTGAACAAACCCTTTCCTCCCCAACTTGCTTTATGGTCATGGTATTTCGACTCAGCAATAGGAACCCTGACTAAGACAGCCCCATAATAAAACTAATGCAAACCAGCCCATGCTATGTCATCTAAGGAAACAGATTCCTGAGAAGCATGTGTCTCCTGAGTTGGGTGCTTATGACTCAGCCACTTTCATCATTATGCTCCTCATTTAATTTTAATTTTACTTTCAGTCTAATACATAAGAACACAATAGTTATACATAGCTATGAGGTACAATGGGATGCTTAAAACACGTATACATTTTATAATGTTTAAATCAAGTAAAGCTATGTGCACCTCACCTATATCATTCTTCATGGTG